CACTCACACTCACCTCTATAAACATAATATAATGTGAAAGAGCTGAAAACGATAGTGTGAAGAAACAATATTATGAATAATGTGTGATGGAAGTTATTGAGATTAATAGAAACTGACTAGATCGGCACAGAACAAAACACTACTAGAGTCTATGCTAAAAAACAAACTGAAAGTGAGAAGCAATAAACTGCTGGTCCTGGCCTCCAGTACTTTAACCAAAGACTTTTACTTTCTACACACCCACACACAAAATCGACGTGCACTCGACCTGTAAATATGTAATAAGAACTGTCCTGTATGATGACAAAAAGTCAATTGATACTGTACCAGTGACGCTGTCCCATGCAGAATAAGTCTACAATCAGATACTATGCAAAGCTGGACAAAGTTAGCACACAACAGTTTTCCATCATTATGTAATCAAACGTTCTTCATCGTACTTCTCAGTTCTCAGAACATTGTTGTAACAAAGTGAGGAAGTGTGTCAAATGCTAATTATAGAACTTGGTGTCTAGCTGGGGTGACGGTGGAAAAGGGGAGGGAAGGGAGGGGGTAGGCCTATTGTTTTCGGCCCAGACTCTGACAGCCGAGTGCCTATCGCTCCTCGTTATAATTCTCCTTATATATCTTCACTAGACGATTCCTCTTTTCGCCGGCTAGACTCATGTGGGCCAGGTAAATTATTAGTGGGGAGAAAGCGCCTCAGACTTTCAACCTGTGGATCTGACACAGACAGTGTATTCACTGAAGAGAACAATAGAATAACCTTCTCCCCAGACACTCACTTGTCATTTTGACCTCAGAACCAGGGGCGGTTTGTTAACTGGCCAAAACCGGCGGTGCTGGTCAAATTTTTGTCAGCTGGACTGTTGACAAGAGATTTATTGCTGCTGATGATTTCATTTAGTTTTATGTTAATCCAAACAAACATGTATCAACATTCAAAAGCGCCTTGCCGATTTAAAGGCGCTCAAATAGAGAAGTAGGATTCACTGCTGTTTTGTCGCGACAGAGCCTCATTCCTTCACGTTTGTTATCGCGCCGGCTCGTAACTTTAAATTATCGTCTCCCGTCAAGCCGTCACGTCGCGGGAACTTCGTACTACGTACGAGGCCAAACCAAACACGGCGATGACGTCAGTCGTCCGCCCCTTGGACAAATCCATCGACTGCCCTCAGAGCGAATAGAGGGTCCCTTGATTGCCAAATTGGCCTCTGTGTTGCTTACCAAATTAAGAATGAGACTGTCTTGAGCAGCACAGGCACATGAATTATTTTAGCAGAAATACTTGTAGTTATCATTCAGCCTTTCTCTAAATGTAAGGCAGCATGGTAGAATCAGGCACTCGTCAGTTTTTGGACATGTAAAGTTATTGGTATCACCCTAAAGCTTGTTCACTTATCTTTATTTAAATGGAAAAAAATCCATTTATCCTGAATACAAGTCGAGATATTTGCGAATGAAGAATGTGGGGGTCACCTGTTTTCAGAGGTAAAATTAGTGAGAAAATTGCAGGCAAAGATTAGTTATTTCCTTAACTTATGAGTCCGTGGTAACTGAAAATTTACATTTTTTGTTCCTTTAATCAACGTTTCTTTTAGAAAAATCTACACAGAAATTAGTTCTTTAATGGGCATGAAAGACGTTGAGCCAAAAAACAAAAATGTGATAAAAATTCAGAAACCTGCGGAAAAATGCACGTTTCTTCACTTTGATTATTTTGACGAGAGCCTGATTCCACCACACTGCCTCACATTTATTGTCAGCATGGCACTAATCTCTTTTGTCTGTTGAATTTGTAGCCACCTATAGTTCCTGTTTGGTATTTATTCCCCCTTGGCGCTAATATGACCCTATGCAGTTGCGAGTGCCGTAAAACCCTCTACTAAATAAATAAATACTGACAGCTCTGAGTGGGTGGTTGGCAGGTGCTCTGGTGTGGTTTGCTCTTTCTTTCCCATCAAACATCTATCATCTTTATCCCCCTCCTTCTTTTTTTGTTTTTGTTACTCCCTTGTAACTTATCTAATCTTCGGCACTTCTATGACCTTATTGTGTTGCAAGTGCCGTAAAATTCGTACAAAAAAATGACAGCTCTGATATCAGTTTTTACTATTTTACAGGAGGGCCAAAAAACTGAATGCTGCTCCCAAGAGAACAAACTCTTTGCAAAATTTCCAAGTCGATATGTTTATGAATACAATTTTAATAATAACTTCCTTAATAACTTTAAAACAAATTATGTTGTTTTCTTAATAACAGCATTCAGTTTTTTGGCTCTCCTATAAAATTATAAAAACTGCAAATACTGTACCGGTACTTTTAAAAGCGGTGCAGAGCTGTCAATAATTGGTCAGTGACAGCTGTCAATAATTGGTCAGTGACACCTGTCAATAATTGGTCAGTGACACCACTCACTTATAGGTCATTGACAGTTGGCACTCATTGGTCACTGACAGGTCACAGACACCACTGACTCATAGGGCGGTGCTATACTGACTAAAGTTGTAGGCCATTCCCAAAGGGGAAACATTAACATATTCTTATGCTCAGTAGAATTGTAAATGGGCTGATCCATCAATGCCATGCTCATAATTGAATATAATAATGAGCTTGGCTTCAATCTTCAAACCGTTGTGGTTATAACATACTCTAACTTACGGCATGGTTCTCTTCGCCCAAGGAATGTGTATCAAAAAGTTTGGCATCAATTTCATAGTTCTAGTTCAACCCAACAGAATGTAGGAGGCTGTTTATCTAAATTTGTTGATTTTTCTTTAAAAAAACAACAACAAAAAACATGGGCGTTTTCATGACAGAGAAGGACAAAAGGTCTCTTTCACGGAGGTTTTCATAACAGACTGGCAGAAGTTTGCAAGATAAGCACACGGTCGAGGTGCACAAGAACAGAAGAGGTCTAGAATCTACTACTTTGTACTACATGAATTTCAAGTCGGTACCATGTCGAACCATGAAAATAAGCACCTCAAAAACAGAAATTGTGAAAGTGAGCCTAAACTGTAGTCCACTGAACATCCATATCAATAGTAAACAACTGAAACAAAGTGAATGAGCTTAAATATCTTAAGCTACATTTTTCTGAAAAATGGGTCCATAGACAAAAAAAAATAAAAAAATAAAATACACGGGAAGATCTGCTGCAAGAAAATAAGACCACAAGACCAGTCATAGGTGCATGTGCCAAACCCTGGATGACGTGCTGTTTGACATCAACAGAACATTATCGGCCAGGTTTTATCTATTTATTATTATTTATTTGTTTTACGGCGCTTGCAACTGAATAAGATCATAATCATATGAGGTGTAGATGTTTCCCACTAGAAGATTAGGGGTATGGTTGAAAGACAGCAGTTAGAAGGAGACAAGGAGTAGCAGTAGAAAGGCTGTAGAAAGAGTCTGGAGCGCAGAGGGGGCACAAGAGGTGAGGGGTGGGGGCAGAAAGAGGAGACTAAAGCAGACCACAGAACATTGCGAGAAAGCAAGAAAGGAGGTGAAAGGGGACAATTTTAGAGAAGAAAATGTTTTAGTCACTACTTGGATTCGAACTCGGGACCTTTGAAAGAGAGGCCAACACCTTAACCTCTAGGCCACGAGAGCCCACGGCCAAGTTTTAACAAATAGAAATAACGATCTCTCTCTCTCTCTCTCTCTCTTTCTCTCTCTCTCTCTCTCTGTATGTCTGTGCGCGCGCCCGTGTGTGTGTGTGTGTGTGTGTGTGTGTGTGTGTGTGTGTGTGTGTGTGTGTATGTGTGTGTGTGTGTGTGTGTGTGTGTGTGTGTGTGTGCGTGCGTCCGTGTGTGTGTGTGTCTGTGTCTGTTGATGGTAGTTTGTTGTAGTTGGTTCTCTGTAAAGCCTTCACTTAAATTGTTTCTCCAAAGGACCAGTAAATCTTTGACACAGACCCCATGAAGTATTTCTACAAAACAAAACAAGGAAACAAACCAAAAATACAGCGGTGGTGACTTTGTTTTCTCTGAGATGTATTACGAATCATGAGTATTGCTAGGAAACTATGTACGTTATGCAGGATATAGATAAAAGTTTTAGTTTTAGTAGAGGTTTTACGGCGCTCGCAACTGCATAAGGTCAATTGAGCGCCAGAAGATTAGAGGTGTTACAAGAGAGTAACAAACATAAAAAAGAAAAAAGGGGAGATAAGGACGAGAGATGTTTGATAGGAAAGAAGGAGCAAACCACACCAGAGCACCCGCCACCCACCCACGATATAGATAAAAGACGACAACCACGACAGCAACAAAAACAGCAGCTACAGACGGTGTCCAGGTAAGCAGAAACAAGAACAAAAGGCACAGAGGGTAAACGATACAATTTAACAACCAACTTTGCCTTTTTTTCATATGAAAATATCAGCATGCTTTATTGAAATGGCAATCGAAAAAAATCAAATGAAAAAAAGAAGGCTTTCAAATTCAAACATGAAAAAATACAACGAGAAAAAAATAAAAAAATATAATGAAGCAAAGGAAAAATGGATAAACAATGGACGTGTCAAGAAATGAACAAAAATCAAATAAAAGAAAACTGTAACGATGCAAAGGAAACATGGATAAAATTATCCGTTTTGGGAAATAGAAAAATATCGAAACGAACCCCCCCCCCAAAAAAAAACAACAACAAAAAAACAACCCCACATACACGTGTGAAATACTATCCGTGTCAGGAAATAGAGAAAAGTAAAAAAACCCAAAAAAAACAAACAACAAAAAACACATACACGTGTGAAGTGTGATCCAAGTCAAGAAATGGAGAAAAATTAAAACAGAGATAGAAAATTCATAGATCTACATGCTTTCCAAAATCAAAAGAAGTAGGTGGAATGAAAGAATTTTCAAACTATAAAAAAAAGGCTGCATAAGAAACAGAAGTTATGTTCAAAATAGAAGGAATAATTTTAAAGTTGAAAGAAGGTGAAAAGCGAAAGTCGAGATTACTGCTACCAAATGGATGGCTTTATACATCAACTGACAGTTTTCAACTTTTGTTTTCGGGCTGTGCTTTTCAAGGAATTATTCCTATAGCGTTCTCTGATTTGTGAATGTCCAAGACAACTTGCAGCTGGCGGAGGGACGGGAGAAGGGTCTGCAGCGTCTGTCGGGTCTCGAGCCTCTGTCTGTTCTTGGGCGGGGAGCAGTTGTTGAATATTCCCAACCGAGGCTGGCGGGGTACGAGATTTTGGCTGTTGATGGGCGCGGAACAGTTGTTGAATTTCCCCAACCGAAGCTGACGGGTTACGAGATTTTGGCTGTTGATGGGCGTGGAACAGTTGTTGCATTTCCCCAACCGAGTCTGGCGGGTTACAAGATTTTGGCTGTTGATGGGCTCGGAGTAGTTGTTGGATTTCCACAACTGTCGTTCGATCTGATGGCGAGGGGCATAACAGACGTTCAACGCATTGTCTGTGCAAGTCTGGAATCAACACCTTGTCTTTGAGCTTCTGTAGAAAGTCTATTCCCGACTTAGGTTCTTTACGGAACAGCAAGGCCCAGAGACAGAGTCCAAGAGAGTAGCTCTCAAGTTTAAAAACGTCATCAACTGGCTCGCCTTCGTCGTATTCCGGTGGCCAGTAGTGCAGAGTGCCTCCCCAACGCCTGGATCTGTTTGAGTTTTTGGGAAGAACCTGAACCTGTCCGAAGTCCCCTAGTACAGCGTTTCCGCAGTGGCTGATGAACACATTTCTCAGCTTCAAGTCGCCGTGTACGATGCGGTGTTGGTGGAGAAAAGACACAGCGTCTGTTAACTGGGTGAAGTAGCGGCTAGCCTCATCGGTCGAGATATCGCAGACAGCATGGGACAGATCGGAGCGGTGCAACTCCATCAAAATGGCGACTTCATCGGGACATTTAACAGCTCTCTCCATTTTTATAATATTGGGATGACGAACGTTTTGAAGAATTTGGACTTCTGCCTCAAACTCAAGCAAATTTCCTAGTTCCTCAGAATCCCTTTCATCGAGAAGGAAAGCAAGAAGCTTCATAGCTTTTTTGTTGTCAGGGTTGTTCACATCCGTAGCTCGATAGACCTTTGAGGAACTGCCACTACCCAAGGGTTTATAATCTAACGACACACCGAGCGCCTCTGTGACGTCACGATCCGCGTAAACTTCGAACACCGGTGGACGGAGACGACGCAACATCGTGCACACACTGAAGCTATAGATGGTAATACGACAGAACTAAGATAATCCCAGTTGTCTGTTGCTCAGAGATGTGGGGGGAAAAGAAAAAATAGTCGTCGTACTTCCACCTTCAGTTCTTGAGATTAAAGATGGTTTGCCACAACACAAACACTGGGTTTTCCCCCTTCACTGTATATAACGAGGTGGAAAATTCCTCTGAATCAAATCCACAGTGCACTCGGGGATTCCAGGAATAAAATGATAAAATCAAGTAGTCAATTACCGTTGGTTTATAGTCCAAGAAATACCAACTGATATCCACAAAGTCCTATACACTTTCCAGAAGTTACTGCACACGAGGATTTCAGGGGGGAGGGGGGGGGGAAATCAAGCGGTCACTTTTAAAAGCACGTGGTTGATATTCCAGGAATAAGATCTCCAGAAGTTATTACACGAGGATAGTAGGGGAAAAATCAAGCAGTCACCTTTAAAAGCACGTGGTTGATAGTCCAGGAATAAGATCTCCAGAAGTTATTACACGAGGATAGTAGGGGAAAAATCAAGCAGTCACCTTTAAAAGCACGTGGTTGATAGTCCAGGAATAAGATCTCCAGAAGTTACTGCACAACAATTCCAGGCGAAAAAAACAAGCAGTCGCTTTTAAAAGCACGTGGTTGATAGTCCAGGAATAAGATCTCCAGAAGTTATTACACGAGGATAGTAGGGGAAAAATCAAGCAGTCACCTTTAAAAGCACGTGGTTGATAGTCCAGGAATAAGATCTCCAGAAGTTACTGCACAACAATTCCAGGCGAAAAAAACAAGCAGTCGCTTTTAAAAGCACGTGGTTGATAGTCCAGGAATAAGATCTCCAGAAGTTATTACACGAGGATAGTAGGGGAAAAATCAAGCAGTCACCTTTAAAAGCACGTGGTTGATAGTCCAGGAATAAGATCTCCAGAAGTTACTGCACAACAATTCCAGGCGAAAAAAAACAAGCAGTCGCTTTTAAAAGCACGTGGTTGATAGTCCAAGAAATACCAAATGATCTACAAAGTTATAATAAACTCTCCAGAAGTTGTTGTGACATAAGTTGACAGCTGAAGCGTTCAGAAAGCAAACGAAACGCACACACAGCTAAGACAAATGCGGCCGTTTTGCGTTGTTTTCTCGTGTTGCCAGAGAGGGCTTGACCACGTGACCAAAAAAAGGTACGGTCATCCAATCGGCGCTGCGGATTTAGTATTGTAATTTTATTGCCCGTTACAGTTTTTGAATCGTGACGTAATTGTTGGGATATCACGAGACTGCCCTGAGGCCCGCCATGGTCATGAGTCCTGCCTTTTGGTCATTGCGCGTCGTGATTGACAAGCGGTTCAGCCAACCAAAACCAAGCTCTGGTCAGAGCTCTTACATAAAATGCGTGCTCTAGAGCAAACAAAGAGTTTGTTTTTACATCTTCATTATGATTGGAACTGCTTTGTCAAAACTGTCTTGAGGCGAAAATGTAAGGGCTGACAGACTTCAAAGGGAGGAAATAAGAGAAAGGGAGAGAGAGAATAAGAGAGAGGGAGAGAGAGAATAAGAGAGAAGGAGAGAGAGAAAGGGAGACAGAGAGACAGAGAGAGACTGAAGGAGGCAGAGAGAGAGAGAGAGAGAGAGAGAGAGAGAGAGAGAGAGAGAGAGAGAGAGAGAGAGAGAGAGAGTGAGGGAAAGAGGGAGAAAGAGAGGGAAAGAGGAGA